GACTTCCGGCTTTGCAGTTTTAAAACCTTGTTGTTACAAGATGGAAGTTGGTACTTTGATTAGAGAACTTCATTGATGAAAATAAATGACAGCCTTTCTCATTTTCTAGATGAATAAATTAGCTTAGGCATAGTAGAAAACTTAAAGCTGCGTCTCCCTGTATTTTCTAATCAGTGATTGTAGGATAAAATATTTTAAACATATTTCCATGCACTGCTCAATTTAATATGTAAAGAGAACTTTGATGTGCATGTCTTCATATGGCATCCCTTTGCTCATTTAGACATATCCAGGAGGTTAAAACATTTATCACATGTCAGAGTCACCAGAATGTCACCATTTGTATAGTATCTGAGAGGGAAAGCCTCATTTTGACAATGTTCTGATGTGTCCAACTCCTGTATGAGAACCAACTGTTTTTTGGATTTTTGTTTGTTTTGTGTAATGGCACCTCATTACTGTAATCAAATTTTCAAAGTAGTCTTTTATTCTACATTTTTAGTATAAAAAAATCTGCAAGTCAAGTACACAGCATAGAGAGATACAACACTGAACTTCCATAACAGTCAATGGCATAGAACATGTACAGAACACAGAATCTAAGCTAACATTTCTATTTTCCATGTGAAAACAAGAACCACATGGAATACATTGGAACCTACCCTGAGGTCTGCAATTAATCCTAGTCAAGCCCAACCTAGATCAGCTAAACCCCAGCTTCCCCAACAACACATGAGCAAGTGCTTGTTATATAAGCCAGAAGTTTTGAAACGGCTTGCTACATGGCATTATTGAGCTGAATGATCCAAGAATACGATCAAACTGTAGAAGCGGAAATTGGCACAAGTGGAATGAGGCACATTCTTAAATTAGTAAAACCTCCAGTATATTTAGTGTTGGGTATTTTGAAAGGAGCAGTAGAAAAAGCCAACGCAGAGGGAATGGACATGGAAGAGGGCACTTAACCTTGGTTATGTACATAAAGCACAAATTCCAAATACCTTCCTACACAGCCAATCTCCCTCCCACTATTTTGCCCATGGAAAACACATGGGAAAAGAAGACACAATATCAACCACCCTTGGATAGATTCCTGTTCACCCCTCCTTTGATGACAAATTATAAGAAAAGAGTTAACAAGAGATTAATATGAACCATGTTCAAAAAGCCTGTCTTCTTTAGAGAGAAACCAAATAGCAAATTTGTCACAATAAGCCAACTTAATTCATTATGTGGACATTTAATTCACTATATGGATGAAAGGGGGTCACATGCTAACCTGACTAGTTCAGGGAAGGCCTGTGTGGCAGCCTTGCAAACTCTAGAGACCTAAAGTAACCAGAAAGGATGGTCTGAAATTAAAAGTTATTAACTAAAAGCAGTTGTTGGCAGCTGGTCATGTCCTAGACAACTAAACCTGTCTGTTGTCTTTTGTATCTATGATGGCATATCATTGGAATGTAACCTCCCTTTTTCCAGACTCCTCAAGGCACAACCAATGCACCAGGACACCGGGATGGAGACCACAAATTTCTTCATTGTTATTGTTATCATGTTAATTGTTGACTGTTAACTATCTTGTACCTACCTATGTAAAAGAAGCATGTGTCTATCATTTCACTTTTTATCCAATCCCAGAGGTCTCCCTGCTTTGCTTTCTCCCGCCTCCCTAATCTATCACGAGTGGATTTCATGTAACCCACTTACGTCTCCTCCTTTGATTATAATGTATAAAAATAGGTGAAAAAACGCCATTCTTCTGAGCGTTATCTCCGTATGTTGAGATTCTGCTTCTCAGCAGTTATTGACAGTTTGGCTCAAATAAACTCAGAAAAATTCTTTACAGGTTTGAAAGTTTCTTATGTTAACAACTAGAGGCCCAGTGCATGAAATCCATGCATGGATAGGGGCCCCAGGCCTGGCCAGTAATCAGGGCCAATCAGGTTCCCTACCTCCCCGCCTCCTCCTTCCCTCTCTCCCTCAGTACCATGCTGGTCACCCGCCATGTTCCATGCCACCCCCTGGTGGTCAGCACAAGTCATAGCAAGTGATTAAACTCCTGGTCTCCTGGTTGAATTCCAGAGGGGACACTTTGCATATTTAGCCTTTTATATAGATAGATAGATAGATAGATAGATAATTTATTATTTTTTATCCTCACCTGAGGATATGGGCATACAGAGAGCTTAGCCAATGAGTGGTCAGAGAAGGTTCCTCAGTAATTCACACCAATCGCCGGCTTGGCCCCCCCCCCCCCCAACCCAGGCCTGATGCCTCTGGCCCAGGCTTCAGGCCTGGGCAGGGGACCCCCAGAACCCTCAGATTACTGACTCCGCCCCCCACCCAGGCCTGATGTCTCTGACCCAGGCATCAGGCCTGGGCAGGGGACCCCCATGTCCCCCTGATCACCAGCTTCACCCTCGCCCAGGCCTGATACCTCGGGCAGAAGCGTTGACCCCCATCACCCTCTGATCACCGGATGGGCCACATGCCCAGGCCTGACGCCTCCGCCAGAGATGTCAGGCCTGGGCAGGGGACCCCCATCTCCCAACGATCACTGGCTCTGTCCCCCGTTCAGGCCTGGTATCTCTGGTCCAGGCGTCAGGCCTGGGCAGGGAACCCCAGACCCCTCCAAATGGCTCCAACCCCCAACCGAGCCTGACACCTCGGCCAGAGGCGACGACCCCCAACACCCTCCAATTGACAGATCCACCCCTTGCCCAGGCCTGACGCCTCTGCCAGAGGCGTCAGGCCTGGGCAGGGGACCCCGATCACTAGCTTATGGGCGGCCTCTGGGGCTTCTGTGGCCAGCCTGCAGCACAACGGGCAGCAGGCAGGCGGCTTCTGGGGGCGCACCCAGGGGCCTGGATGGTGTCTCTCCCATTGGTGGCTGTGCTGTCTCGCCCTGACAGGGGAATGCAAATTATCTGCCATCTATGTTTGCAGTTAATTTGCATATTGTGCTAGTTTGCCCATGGGAGGCGTAGCAATGGTACGGTCAATTACCATGTTTGTATATTATCACGTAGATTTACCATAGAATGTGTCCTCCATACACATCAATAATGGGCTTTTTAAAATAAGCATCAGAATAAGACACCTGCCCATACAGCTATAGACATTTCTGCTCATCTTCACCTTTCTGAACTGGATAATTCCACCAGGAGGTATTTGCCACAAGGTCAACATCAAAATTAAACCCTGACTTGATCTGCTTTTGTCCTTATTTTCATCTCAATGTACATCATTATTTTTCTTCCTCCTCTTTGGCTCTAAGCTCCCTAATTTTTCAGGCAGTACACATGGCAGGGTTTACACATGGCAGGGTTCTTTTGGAAGAGAGAAACTATTGTTAAAATCTTCATCAACCTATGGCTAACCTCTGCAAACGCCATCCTCACCTGAAAACTTGGATTCCTGTTGCACAGACGACAATAATACATGAAGTATACACAATACAGTATCTTAGTGAAGACTGTGGTGAAGAGGATGAGCATGAGAATATATAGGGTCGGTGTCTCTCATATTTGAAATCTTGGTGCCCCCACCCTCTAGGCCCACTTCCTCAGGTGTACATTGTGCTAATGGAAAACCCTAGATAAAGTCAGAAGTTCATTCCAATTCACAAAGCTGGAGGATTCTTGCATAAATTAAGGAACCACATCAATGTACCAAAAATGATCTTGGCCTACTCCTGTTTTCAGTTGGCTATACCTGCTTCTTAGTTCAATCTTCTTTATTGCTTCCTAGTGTCAGAGCCTGCCTGAGTGGAAAGGAGACAGATTTGCATTGTTGTAGAAAACTTCAGCATATTCCATTTTCATAAGGAGAACCTAGGATTAACAAAATGCCCCCAGGAATATTCACCCTTTAGCATTGTGCCTTCTTAAGCTCAAGGCCTTACACAGGATGTAACATTTTCCATGTTGCTCATTCATAAAGAGCATCAATTTGTACACTCGTGGGACATTTTAAAATGGAATCATTAATACAGTCACAGAATTACATTGTGGGACTGAAAAAAAGATGTTCCTCATCCCACTTGAAATTCTCAATTACGGGAACACACCGCGATAGGGTGCAAACAACTAATTACAATTACTTCTGTGAGTATAGTGCAAACAGAATAATCACATTGCATTGCACCCTTTTAGAAGAGTGATTTGTTAATGTAAGGAGTTAAATATTCAGCAACACGTGAAAGTATTTTTATTGCAATGGAAACTCAAAAAAAGAAAGTGTTTAGGACCTCCATCTATCTGTGAGAGGTGTCGCAGTCACGATATCTGTTTCTGGGAGCAGGCACAACTACCAAACCATGCAGCTTTACACTTTTCCCTGATAAACGTGCTGTCATGCTCACTATGTCTGAGATTATGATGGGCAGAATATTCCAAATGCCCGACATAAAGTCCAGAATGTCAGAGCTTCAGGGGACCTGGAGATTGCCTGATCCACTCCGTTGAAACCAGACTTATAAAGGTAAAGGAAGAGAAGGGGAGTGGCTGAGAGACATGTCTCTTCAAGCCTGCGACCTTTGAAGGCAGCATGCCAGCGCCAGGTACCTGCTGCATTTGCTGACATTAACAATTCTGTACATTCAAGGAGGCCTGCAATGGGCTCACACACCGCAGGCTTCATTTACCTTCCAATAATTTGTCTCGGCACCACACTTTCCTCATGGCATTCTTCATGTCCGTGTTTCTCAGCGTGTAGATGAGAGGGTTAAACATGGGGGCAATCATGGTGTAAAACAAGGCAAAGACCTTGTCATTATTGACAGAATCGGCTGTGGGGACATAGGTGAAGATGACGGGCAAGAAGAACATGAACACCACAGTGATGTGCGAGCCGCAGGTGGAGAGGGCTTTGCGGCATCCCTCGGTTTCTAACTCTCTCTATCTCTCTCCCTTCCTCTCTGTGAAAAATCAATAAAATATATTAAAAAAAAAAAAGTCTTACTAAGTGGAAAAGTTGAGCTCCAAACCAGGGCCTCTGCCCTAAAGATTTAATCCCCCAATGACAGAGGCCATCACAAGGACATAGCATGCCTTTCTGCTCATGATGACCATGTAGTAAAGGGGTCTGCAGATGGCTACATAGCGGTCATAGGCCATGGCCACCAAGATGAAGATCTCAGCGCCACCAAAAAAGTGTGCATAAAACATCTGGGCCATGCAGCTGTTGTAGGAGATGGTCCTCCGCTGGGCCAGTAAGTCTGTGATCAGTTTGGGGGCCACCGTGGAGGTAAAGCAGACATCCATGAAGGACAGGTAGCTGAGGAAAAAGTACATGGGCTTTTCACTGAGGCAGCTGCCCCTGATGGTGACAAGAATGAGCAGGTTTCCTGAGAGAACAGTAATATAGCACAGTGAGAAGAGCACAGAGCAGGCAACCTTTGCATCCTCACCACTAAATAGTCCCAGGAGGATAAACTCTGTGACGTTGTCCTGTCCCATGGCTTCTGTGGGTTTGACCAGATAGAGGGAGGAAGTTAATATTCTTGAAACACTCAACTTTCTGAAATTATTGACTTCAAAGTCACTGATCTACTCAACAAATACGCATTGATCATTTATTATGATGCAATCACTATAATAGGTGCTAAGGGTAAGCAATGTACAAAATAGGATCTCTATCTACAAGTACAGTGCAGTTCATTAGGACAGAGGGTAACAATAAAAGAACAAATAATCAATTAGTTGCAATCATGATAAATCCCAAGTCCCACATGTACCATGAACAACACAATGAATACTTAAAAGAGGAAAAGTGCTTTTTCTGAAAAATTTTTGAGATGCAATTTTAGTATTATAACTTAAGAGTGATTTTTAAATCTGATCTTCAAGGGCTGTGACAACGCTATAATTCTCAGTCCTTTCCAATGACTAAACTTGTGCTAAATCCTGAAAGTTCAGTATTGTCCTTAGACTTCAGTGAGCTCATAAATTTAGGTATTGGACATCTGGGTGACAATTTCAGAAAGTGCTCATAGAACCTTTACACATTTTTCGAGGTAAAGACCTTAAGCAAAGAAAAAGAAAAACCTCATAGACACAGACAACAGTGTGGTGATTACCAGAGGGAACATGGGGTGGAAGGAGGTAGAAGAGGGTGAAGGGACGATAAATGGGGATAGAAGGAGAGTTGGCTTTGGGTGGTAAATACATTGGCTGGTAAATACACAATACAATATACAGATGACACATATGTAGAATTGTACATCTGAAATATATATAACTTTATTAACCAAGGTCAACCCAAAAAATTCAAAAAAAGTTTTTTTTAAAAAGAACCTTTTCATGAACATATTTTTTAAGTGGAGGGAGAAAAAGAGCAACAAGCAGGTCTTTGGGGGGGAGTGTTGCTGCATTGTAGGGACTTTTAATGCATTTACCGCTTCCTGAAATTGATCTTATTTCCCAGTTCACTTTCCAGTCTAACCCAGGAGTTCTCACAATTTTTGTCCTTCAGTCACCCTTTCTGGTGCTTGCTCTTAGGACACATTCTTGAAGGAGCAAACTGCATCCAGAAATCCTTTTTCACTCCATCTGTTTCACCACCTTGCAGCTCCTTGAATTGAACCACTTTTTTTCCTTACCAGGCTTACTGCACTCTCATTGACCCAAGTCCTTGGAATATTTTAGTTACAAGGAAGAGTTTCTTTGGTGCAAAATATTATACACCATCTCTTACTTCCTCTGGAATATATCACAAAATGGCTAAACTCAAAGCTCAGTATTACAAAAAATAAATCCTACACATTGATTAGCCTGTTTGTGAAGGGTAATAATGTTAATTGAACAATGTCTTTTACTTCATCTGAATTCCTATGAAATTGTTTTAGAAAAATGAACATTTGGCATACAAAGATCATTTTAATAGGATTTTAGGGAGTTCATGGATTTTTTATTTGAATTCCACCCATCAACCCCAAGCAATTCCCTGAGATCTAACTTCTTGCAAAATCTCTGGAACTATCACAAAACTCCAATTGCAATTGTCCTGAGCTGTAGTACAATTTGTTTAAAATAAACAATTAAAAGTTCTTTTGAACTGTGAGTTACCTATTTTAGCCTAAAAAATAGAATCCCTTACTTGAATTCAGAATTATATTTAAACATATAAAAGGACAGCAATCATAAAAAGATATACCAGGTATATGGTTAAGGAATAGCAATATAAAAAGATGTCAATTTTTTCCAAATTAAACAATACAGTCAATAATTAAAACAAAAATTCTGACAAAATTTTTTGTAAAATTTGAAAAGTTGGTTCCAAAGTTCAGAAACACTTCATATCCAGAATAGCTAAGCTAACTTTTTAAAGGAAGACAGAAGAAGGTAGGCATTCCTTCTCAGAACAGAAATATGTTATCAAGCTAGGGCAACGAAAGAGTTGTTGATAAAGACACAACAGTGGACATAAAGGCAGCCAATAAATAAACACATAAATATACTAGAATTCATTCCATGTTTAAGTTGGGATTTCAAACTGATGTGAAATAATGGACTTATTGGTAACTGATGTTAGGACTTTGAATCTCCTTTTGGGGAACAAACATATTCCTCAAAGGCACAAAAAATTATGTTCTACATGGCTGAAGATGCAAATGTATCAAGTAAAATAAGAAAACTATTTAAGAAAAATTTAGAATGGGTTTATATCTTAGGTAGGAACATTTCTTCAAGCAAAGCACAAAAGGCAAATTTGTAAAATATATATAATACGTCTAAAATTTCTGTGACAAATTCCATTTGTATCAAAATTTTTAAAAGTGGCAAAATGGGGGTATTTATGAATCCTGTAAATCAATATTATATAAGTAAGTACCCATTTTTGTAAAACAGCAAAAACTTTGACTAAGCAATGTACAGAAAGGAAATTCCAAATGGCCAAAACATATATAAAAATATTCAGGGAAATGCAAACTAAAACAGTAATGAAATACTATTCTCACTTATCAACTTCATAAAAGTACAATTTTAAGTCTGTTCATATAAAACTTTACGAGCAACTGAGCAAAACTATCCAGAAAGCATTCAGAAGTGTGTTTATTGAAGACTCATTTAACTTTGGAAGATAGAAGTGATGTAAATACCTGACAATAGAACAGAAATAAGATGTGATATGTTCTTATTATGAAAAACTAGACAGAAACTTAAATTTTGGCTCCATATGACACATCTACCATGATACAAATCACTAAGATCTATTTTTGAGTGTGAAAACAGATTTAGTCACAGGAAAGGACTGAAAATTATAGTGCCTTCATCACCCTTGAAGTACTGATGACTTCAGTGCTATTTTATAGATACATGGATATCTGTTTCCTCTCCAGGAGATAGCAATATTAGTATTCATGGATTCTTCCAGCTGCGAAGAACTAATGTTTTTAAATCAAGTGAAATATTAAATTATTTATCAATTAATGTATCAAAGTCATCAATTAATTTTCCATGTTTTACAATATTTATTCTTTTTATTATTGCTGTCTTCGTCAATTATTTGATCATTTTTTCAAACTTTTATAGTTTTGTATCATTGCTTTTCTATCTGATGTAGAGTACAAAACACCACAATTTCTCGTAGCCTCCTGTCCTAGCATCTTACAATCTCAAGTTTCAAGCCAGATTTCAAAAGAGCATTCCCCTTGTTCATTTCCTGTTAAAACAGACCTCTTAAAATCATTTTGTAAAATATTAAAATGCCAATTTTGACCTGAATTAGAAGCCCATAAAAGTTATAAAAGAAGTAGTTACCAGGGAGATACATTTTTAGAACACATATTTATGGAAAATATAATTTCCTAAAAAAAGAAGCAGATAAGGATAGATTATTCCATAGCCACTCAAAGAACTAACTTTACTTAGACTCAGGCATTCAAAAGCAAAAAAGGCAGAAAAGAAAGATGGAAAAGGAAAAGAAAAAATAAGAACTCACATATTGAATATCAGTTCATTCCAATCAATATCTGAAGGGAAATTCTTGTCTTCTTGAACTCATGCCAAAAGACAAAAAAAGTCTATTCTAAATCAAATAGATGTCTTAGGGGAGAAAGGCAATGAAAAAAAGTCTCAAGCTTTGTATCCAGCTTTCAAATTCTTTGACTTTTCAAGTGTGCTGTCAAAGAAATCCTTTTAAATTGCTTCAAATATGTGATGTTAAGTATTAAATGTAAGTTTTATGGTCAGTGACCAAATGGTCTTAAAAGTAGCTTTATTACTTTCTATGCAGGGATAAACCCTAATACACTGATTATATTTCTTAAGAGCCTCCTTTTGCTTCCATGTCCAAGGCTAATATTTATTAACTAGAGGCCTGTTGCATGAAGATTCACGCAATAGGTCTTCCTTCCCTTGGCTGCCGGCACCGGTTTTCCTCCAGCACCTAGGACCCAGGCCTTTGGTCCAGCTGCAGCAGAGAAGCCAAGCCTCTGCAGTCTTCAGTTGTCTTCAGTCTTCGCTCCGTGCCTGCGTATGCAAATTAACCTGCGTTCAGCGTCTGGCGGCGACGTCTGATGTTCCCCACCCTGCCTTTCTGGGTGCCCAATTGGGGCCCACACCCTACGGGTGGTGTCTGGCAATGCCCACCCTGCCTCCCAAGGTCTCTGGTGACCCAGGCCCCAGCCCCTCCTTGAGCAGCGGCCAGCGCGTGCAGGCAGCTTGGCTTCCTCCATCACCGGGGCAAACCAAGCCTCCAGCTCCGTGGCCCCTGCCATCTTTGTTGGGTTAATTTGTATACTCGCCCTGATTGGCTGGTGGGCATACCGGAGGCACTGTCAATTTGCATGTTTCCCTTTTATTAGTGTAGAAGAGGCCCAGCACACAAAATTCACATGCAGGTATGGTCCCTAGGCCTGGCCTGTGATCAGGGCCATCTTCCCCAGCTGCCCACAGCTGGCCCTGCCCCCCCCTACCACCCCTCCGGTTCCCTATTTGCCATTGGGTGATCAGTGCCTGATGGATGGGATGAGGGGAGGGACCAAGAGGTGGTCAGTGCACCTCACAGTGACTGGTCCAGTGGTTGTTCTGGTCATTCTGCCCTTAGGGTCAATTTGCATATTATCCTTTTATTATTTAGGATTAGAGGCCCGGTGCCCAAAAATTTGGGCACTGGAGGGGAGAGGGGTCCCTCAGCCCACCTTGCCCCCTATCACATACTGGGAGCCCCCAGGGGATGTCCTACTCCCTGCTCTCTGCTCCCCTTGGGGAGCGGGCCTAAGCCACAGTCAGGCCTCCCTTTGTGGGAGGCAACCAGGCTGATCAGGGGAAGGAACCAGCCCCATCACCCCACTGCTGCAGCCACTGCTAGTCACTCCAGCCACCAAGGTGT